CTCGCGTCCGCCCGCCGCGCTCGTGTCCCCCGCCGTCCGCCGCCGCCGTTCCGGCGCCGTCCATCCAAACCGGGTCGGGTCGTGTCAACCCGGCAACCCGCCGGATCGGGTCCGGGTTCGATTTTCCGACCCGTTTTTCTACCCGAGTCGGGTTAGGGTTGACCCGTTTGAACCCGGGTCAGTTCCGGGTTCGACCCGAACCCGACCCGTGACCCGAAATTGACACCCCTAATCTAAATATAGAGTTCATGATGTCGGGATCGTCTGGAGAATCGGATCTGCAAGAAAGGATTTTCCAATCCAGAGAACAATCACAAGCAGAAAGCTTCAAAGCTTTGAAAAGAAGAAAATAGTCATTCAATGACCCTCCCCTTAGAATATCTTGCTTATATAAGCTTCTAAGAAAATTCTACAAAAACTTGTAACAAACTATATAAGATATTCCTAAGATAGGCTATAATTATGATGTTCCACATCAGTTCATTATTGATGTGGGTTGGATCGTTTGGAAGAAGAGGATGCTTAAGGATTTAATCCCAATCCAGAGAATAAAGGTAACACCAAGCTTAAAGCTTCAAAAACATATAATATTCATCATTCAATGTCCTTCATACTACAATACTTGATATTTATAAAGCTAAAAGAACATTCTAGAAGCTAGTAATAACAAACTTAGATAACATATTCCTAAAGCTGCATTTAGTTAAGATGTTCCTACATCAATTATCAACCTTCACCCTCAAGTTATGTATTGATCAACTTCGCATTTGGCCTCGTAGCTTTGCAGTCAAGAGTTCTATTTAAATTCTTGCCACCTGCTACATATATTCATCTTTAATGTTAGAGGAATAAAATTCTGATTGTATGATATATGGTGACAAATTTAGTAAATTCTAATGGGAATTAAGGCTTCATTAATTAGGGACGGCTTTCTTAATACTTTCTAAAATAATTTTTTAGTTTAAAAAAATATTAAACTATAAAATTTTGCACTAAAAAGCTGCTCCATAAAACAGTAGGAAAGTCATATTAAAAAGCCTAAGACTCATGCTTCATTTGAGATATTTCAAATCACAACCACAATTTTTGTTTGATCAATGCATTTTTATTATTTTCAATAAATTTTTGTTCTAAGAAACAGTTTTCTATAATATCTTTAAAAAAACTTATTTTCTACATAATAATTTTACAATCATTTTTATAAAAATATAAAAACGATAGCCCTAAATATATAGATCCTCTCTATATCTATTGGTGATAGTTAGGAAGAAGATAAATATTCTTCCTATCATAATAATAGTTTTAGTCAATGTGTAACATTATTTCATATTATTTGAAGAAAAATAAATACTTAAATATTTAGAAAGATATTATTCCTATTCATATATCGTATCATCAATTCTCATATTCAACAACAACAACAACAACATCAAGTCTTTATCCCACTATGTGGGGTCAGCCACAACATCTCATTATGCTCATTTCATTTCCTGTCTCTAAGAGTAAAGCCACTCATCCACCTAAGCATTCTCATATTTCCAACACTTAACTTAATTTTAATGGCCAACATTCTTTACCATAAAATATTACTGGTCTAACCACCATTTTATAGAATGTTCTCTTAAGTTTGAGGTTGACTTTTCTATCACACAACAAGCCCGATGCATTCCTCCACTTCAACCATGAAATTTGAATTATACTAATAATATCCCTATCTATTTCACCATCACTTTGAATAATAGACACAAGATATCTAAAATGTGTACTTTTATTCTTGACTTGATCACCCAAAAAACCTTCAGACTCTAAAGTTGACCTCATAATTCAAGTTTACTTCCAGCTCCCTCTTTAATCTTATCAACAAGGAGAATATCATTAGCCAAAAGCATACACCAGGATATATCCTCTTTCAAATGTCTAGTGAGAACATGCATGACTAACTCAAAAAACAAAGAAAAAAAAAAAACTTAACCATTCTCACACTGCAAAAAAAAAAAAAAAACCTTCGAAGGAAAAAGAAGAAATCTTATTCAACGAAACAAGTCGCTGCCTCTTTCCGACTTAAATTACATACTCTCCTAAATCATTCTTATTTGCATGCAACCTAACCCTAACCCTAAAATTAACCAAGTCATTGAATTATCCTATTTACAATTATGCCAATCTGCACCCTTACTTAATCGTCGATGGATCAAATAACGTTACAGTAGTACTTAACAATTTCCCATCTACACATACGATCCAGCTAGCTTATTAAATGCATAGCTGAAGAACCCCAGGCTTCTTCTCCTCCTCCTCAGCCATAAGGCTCTCACAGGAAGGACAAACCCTCATGTCTTCAACCTTTGATGCATAGAACCTAAGCTCATTCAGTTCCCTTCTCAGCCTCCTGTTCTCATCGCTCAGATTGTCGCAACATCTCTTCAATAACTCACAATCCACTTCTGTTTGCTTCAACTTAGTCCTGTCATGAAAACAAGCACACAAACTCCATTATTTCAATAAAGAACTTAATGCCTAATTCAGGGGCGGACCCAACCTTAATTTTCAGGGTGGGCAAAAAATGTAAAGATTTTTTATTTGCCTTGAAGTTGGTTGGAACCCTATTTGTTCATATCCTTGATCATTATACACTTCGTAGATATATTGGGGGTCCAAGGGGTCAGCGCCCTCTGGTGGGGTTTGACCTGACTGATCAGGTTGCGGGGTCAAGGGGCAGCGCCCTTGCGGTTTTTGTATTTGGTTCATGATTTCCTAATAATAACACATCTACGTAATGTGTTTGATTATGTTGTGGGCAATTGTCAAAAGACCATAGTATTTTAAAACTTTTAAGGGTTATTTTTTTTTAGAGGTGGATCCACCCATGGCCTAATTATATGTCAGCTATATAAATTGAGAAATGCTTTTTAATTACATTTATAGAAATTCTATGAAGATTTCTTTAATAAAAAATGAATAAACAATACAATCTATTAATTTTTTTTAATATAATTTTTTAATTTTAAGCAGCAATCAAATGAGAGCCTAAGTAAATTCTTATAAAAATATCCGATATTAGCCCATGCATAGTTCCCAGTTGCTAAAAGAATTTCATATTGCATTCATATAGTGATTATAATCTTAAAATGAATTTAATGACCATAGAATATTCTGAACATTTATTTTTTCCTTATAATATATATCGACAAATACAAATAAATATATTGTTTTAATTTTTTGTTTCTTTGAATAAGAAGCATTTCTGTTGCATATTATACCTTGCTCTTCTATTCTGGAACCAGACCTCAACTTGCCGGGGACGAAGCCCGAGCTTCTTTGCGAGCTCTTCCTTCTGAATAGAAGTGAGGGTTTTGTGGCTGCAGAAGCTTCTTTCGAGTAAGGTGGATTGTTCATTAGTAAGTCTGAGCTTCTTCCTGATCATGCCATGCACGTCTTCGTTGTCTTCTTTTTTGTTCTTTGATTTATTCATCTGCAAGTTTTTCAACTCCATTGAGTTTGTCTTCTGTTCCCTTTCTTCATCTTCTTCTTTCTTCAGAAAGGGAGGAAAACACAAGTGGAGTCTCACCGGAGGCTTCGTCACTTCACGGCGATAGCTGTGTTGGGTAGCTGAGAAACCGCCACCTTTGATGGCTAGGGTGAGCTGAGTGTCGCATAGCTCCTCTCCCATGACAGAGAGACAGAGAGAGAGGTTGCTTATAGGGGGAGAAGAAGGTGTTGGTGTCGGAGTTTGAGGGGGTGGAGGGGCGTTATTATATAATGACAAAAGTAACATAATAGAGAATATGGGAGTTTCTTGTGGTGTTTAATTTGGGAGGTAAGAGGATTTAAAGTTGGTAAGTAAGGATGGTGAAAGAGGAGCAAAATTTTTTATTTAAAAAAAAAAAAGTAAGAAAAAATTAAAACGGTCAAAGAGGGCAATTTGGGCCTTTTGTCTGCCACATAAATGGCCTATGGGAACAGTCAAAATTTTGAATTTTTTTATCTATTTAAAGTTTTAAAACTCTGATTTTTTTATTTAGAAAAACACATTTTAAAACTGAAATTTTAAAAAATAGAAGATTTTTTTAATAAATTTAAATTTTATTTAATCTTATTTAGAGTGCATTTTCTTATAATTTTTTTGAAAAAATTTATTTGATTTTCTTTGATGTTTCAAATTTATTCATATAGTTCATTTGTTAAGTTCACATATATTTTGTCTAAATGAGATTTTTAAAATTTAAATATTTTAAAAAATTAAACCGGTTGAAAAAAAGACTATGGTTGGAGCGGAAAAAAATAAAAAATGGAAGGAATAACAAGGCATGACTCATGATATCTCAAAAGTCAACATGCGAAGCCTAATTTCCAGGTTGTTTCACTGCTGAGGGGTCAAGGAATTTAGTGGTAGTAACTCTAATAAATTAATGAGAACCGTTCAAACTTCAAATATTTATTATTCCATAATAATGAAAATATGTCATAATTAGCATATCTGATTAAGGAAATAAGTTTGCTTAATTCTTATGCATACATGAATCATTATACATTATTATATATTTTTTGGTCAACCTGACCCGGCCTAATTTTTGAAATGTGTGGACTTGTTGAATCCGAATCTGACCCAATTGACGAATAGGTTGACCTTAACCCAGAATTTTTGGTTAGAATTTTCATGTCGTGTCAAATATTGACACCCTTACATATAATATGTCACATGGAATACTAATAAAAAATTTGTTCTTTTTAACTCCTAACAAAACCCATTAAAATAAGCTTACTTAATGGAATGTGACAACTCAAATTATAGCATAAATAGAGAATTAGCCTATTAGGGTATAAACTAGTTTGAGTTATTATTTGGTGTAGTTTTCTAACTGCTTTCTTGTTCATTTTTAGAAATTTTGTAATAGAAATTTGTTTCTTACAACCAATTCTACTAATATTTGGTGGCTATAATGAAATAGTAGTTTGATTTTTTTTTTTTTAAAAGTAATAGTCTCCCCCCCCCCCCTCCCCCCCCCCCCCCCAAAGAGAAAAAGAAAAAAAACTACTCGAGTTTGAGCCATTTTTAAATTTGAGCTTGAATTTTATTCAATTAATTGAATTTGAAAGCTCGACTATTAGAGCATCTCCAACCGAACGTCAAACGAGTGTATGGCGTCATTCGGTCGCTCCAGCCAAACGTCAAATCTTCCGCCATTTACTTGCCGTTGAATAGTGCGACGTCAATATTGGCGTTACACTGTTCACCCACGCCATTTTGCTCTCTTGAAAGGGAGAATCACGTGAAAGGATCGTTACCTTCGTAAAAACACATAAAATAACGTTCGATTAGAACAGCACCACCGCATTTTGAAGTTTTACAGTATTTTACCGTGAAAAATAGAGTTCTCCGTTATGAAATAATATATATGAGAGTAAATTTGGCTACATTATTGTTTTAGAACCGGTTAAACTTTAGTTGGTCATTATTTAATAGGTTCTTACGGGTCGTGTACGACAATTCAACTTTATTTGTAAGAAAAAACATTTTGTTTAAAAAGAATGATACGTAAGACTCGTTTGAATTTACCAACCTACCTTTTATCACATGATGTCGGCCAAAATTAGATTCTGAAATACATTATTTTTTTATATGGAATAGAAAAAAAAAATTGGACAAATGTAATTATTAAAGATAAGAAAAATAGTTAAAATATTTATTTTTATAAGAAAAAAAAATTTTAAGGTGAACAATTGATCAACCCGAACTTTTCCTGATTCCCCTCTGAAGGTCAATAATGTTGATTGCACTTAGATTAATTTGAACTTTTTTTTTTTAATTTGAAAAAATGTTTTATATATAATTATTGAATTATTATTTCTAGCATAATACATTCAAATAAAACAAAATAATAAAGGGCTAAAAAATTAAAATTAAAATTATAATAGGAAAAAAAATTAAATTAATACATTATTATTAAATTTCTAATAAAATAGTTTAATATTATTGGATTTGGATTACTATGCTCTCCATCATCAACGCAGGTCAAAAAATCATTCAAATTTAGTAAAAATCATCTTTTAAGAAAAATCTATTCAAACTTTGTCCTAATTATAACGTCCATAAATATATGAGTTTAATGAAAAGTGTGTTGAAACTTGCGCAAATGACTCATCTTATGCTTAAAATTAGGTGTGTAAATGAGTCAAGTTGACTCATGAGCTTATTCGAGGTTGGCACAATAAATGGCTCAGGTGCCGAGCTTGATAAGCTAATGGGTCAAGTCAGAGCGGCTGAGCCAACTTCAACTCCACTCATTAGATCGTGAACCAACTTATTTAAAAAATATTAATATTAAATTAATACACTTAAAATAGATTAAAATTCAAAATTTTGAATATAAAACTATTTAAAATATTGAAAAGTTATATCATACTTCCTAGCTTACATCAAGTGATTTTTGTTATTTCTCATTTTATATCATTTTCTTATATATACTAATTGTCTAAATCATAATTTTTTTTTCTTTTATAATAAATGAGTGAACTCAAACTCATAGAATTAAGATCAAATTTGATTAATTATTAATTAAGCTGCTAATGCCTATATATATATATATATATAATTGTTTGTCAATATTAAAACAACGAAAGTCAGAGAAGTAGCTAAATTGTACCGAGAAACTGCTAGATATCATATTTTTAGTTGGCACGTGCCGATGGATTTTTTTTTGGGGGGGCATTTAGTTAATTAAGGCTTCATTTGGATGGTTTTTTTATTGCTTCTTAAAATGGAGATTTTTTAACTAAAATTTTGTTTTAAGAAGTAATAAAAAGGCCGTCCCAAACGAAGCCTAAGAGAAACTCACAGAGACCTCATATAAGCAAAATTTTAACTCAAGACTTCTTAGTTGAAAGCCAAAGCTCGTAACCAACAAACTAAAGAGAGTTATGTTGGATGGAACATCTTGTCATTTGGGCAGGAAAGAAGAGGTAAAATTTTTAAAAGATCATTTTTTTTTTTAATTTAATTATCTTACTTTGAAAGAAATTATCGTGAATAGAAATTAATTTTTATAACATTAGAGTTGCCTCTTAAAGGGGTGTATACATTCTGAAAGTTTCAACTAAGGAAGCATTAATAGCTCATCTTGATCTATTAGTTAGGAGCTTTGACTACCAATCAATAGGTTCAAGTCTTATGAGCCAAGCACATATCATGCATTTATATGATCAACATGAGCCTATTAAACAATAGGGTTCGCTCAAATCCATTCATATATGAGTAGTATTAGTGGCATTGTGTTAAAGAAATCGAAGATTATTTAATTAAACCACTAAGGGGTCATTTGGTTGGTTATAAAATGAATACAGTGTAAAGTAAATGTAGTGTCAAGTAAATACTTTAAGACTGTTTGGTTATATGTAAAGTAAATGCGGGAAAAACCTTTTAGATATGCTTTGCTGCCTTGTTGATTATAGTTGTTTCCATCTGTATGATTTTGGATGAGTGTTGTGAGGAAGTTCATCCCAAAGCAACAAACTCCATGGTAATCAAAGGAAAAAGAAAAAGAACTCCAACTTTGCTCAACCTCTAGATGTAGTTCTCGATTTATTGGTCAGGAGCATGGCTAGGTTGCGATAGAGAAGTGACGGATGCAACACGATGTGTGATGGTCACAATATATTGGCAGCGTTATTCGTGCCTATCACTGATAATGCTTTGAATTTGGAGGAAGAACCAAGGATGGGTTCCCATGACAATGGAAAAGAAATGACTATGGTTCCCGCGACAATGGAGGAAGAAATAGACTTCTTTCTCTTGCTTGCTTCCCGTGATTTCCTTTTTCGCCCAATTTTGAGCGGGTTTACTCTACGTGGAAAATGAACTAAAGCAGGGAGTTCTGAATATATTACTATTTTATTTTACTCTACTCCGTGTGAAACCAAACACTAAAAATTTTAAAACACGTACATTTACTCTATTTTGCACCCTAAAGTATTCCAACCAAATGACCCCTAAAAGCTAAGAAATGCGTAAATCATCATGAAAATATCATTATAATCTTATGTGATATTACTAGGCTTTGTTTAGTTTGAAGAAATTCAAATAGAGAAAATTTTAAAAATTCATAATTAAAACACAAAAAAAATATATAATAATTGAATTGAGAACTATTATCACCATTTTATTTGGCTGATGTATATTTTTATATTTTTTATGAAGATTTATCAATAGAAAAATAGATTTATTTTCACTTTTATGTGAATTTACCACATATTTAACTAAATTAAAATCAAATAATCAATATAAAATAATTATATAAAATATATTTGTATTCCTCAAATTTCTTTCAAATCCAAAAGAACCTCAAAGTAAACATCACCGTGGAAAAATGCCTTAGATTCTTACCGTGCCCATTATGTCCATCCATCAAGCAAAACTTTTGAATGGGTACATTCCTAATTAGTAAAACGTCAAGGGGTCAACTTCTAACTCCCTTATGTTGAAATTATTACAAAAAACGGTGATTAGCAGTGCAAATCAATGAATTTACCGTAGTCGTAGTATGGTTAAGTGTTGCACACAACGTAATAAGAATTGCAGTAATATAAGATATACGGTGATTAGCAGTGCAAATCAATGAATCCTCCGATGTTGAGCACCAACCCATAAGGTCATGGGCGTATCCATACCCAATGGGTATGAATATGTGTGGGTACGTATAAGTACCCAATGCAGGGCTCTAATATCTACCCATTCAAATTTAAATTTGTACACTACATTATAAAATGATTGTTTTCACTATTTTGTTTTGCAAAAGTGTTATTTATCTCTTGCAATGTCAAATTGGAGTATATGTTGAGAATCCCTAAGATATTATTCCTGAATAAGAATATGTATTTTCACTAGCTCTCCCAACCCTCAATATTTGCCCAAATTTCTAAGAAATTTTTGTCCACCTTAAGAATGAGTGTTCATCCGTCCTTCATCGCACCCCTGATTCCAAAGGGGATCAAATAACAACTGAGATAATATTTTTTCCTGACGTTAACTGTCGAAGAAAAGAGTTTGATTCTGCCTAGGAGACGTGTTAAGTGTTAGAAAATTAAGATCTTTGAAAGTTTAATCAAAATCTTACTTTCATAATTATGGTCAACAAAGGAATTGGACTTAAGGAAAAAGAAGCAAATTACCATATAGTATTATAATCCTTATAATTAGTCCTTTAAGTATGATTTTGATATTCACCAACTACTAAGGTAGTTGGACAAAAATTGAATGATTGGAATCAGATTCGTCATTAAACAATGATATTTAGTTGAATGTTTTAATTTTGTCATCTTAATGACAGCGATTAATGAATTTGGTCGTGCTAATTACTATTTTATTCCAGTTCAATCATTTAATTTTTTCGTGGGATGGAGGTTGAATATCATCTAATTTTCAAAATGTTTATTAATTTGTAATCAAGTTTGAATTTTAATTGAGTTTAACAAATTATATATTTAATGCTAATAATTTAAATATACAACATTGTTCTTCGATATAAATGAGTTTATAAAATTTGTGAAAATTTACATGATTCACTAACTACTATTTGTTTAAAAATATTCATTAAAAAACTTAATTTATACATATAGTTATTTGTTCTATATTTTTAGTATAATTATATTCTTAATATTATATGTCGGATCAAAGAATGTTGGTAGATGACACCTTACCTTATTTGCAAATGAGCTCTAGAGATACCCATGAGTGCTTGCATGAGAATGAAGAGAAAGAGGAGAAAATTTTGTAAGAAATAATCCACTAGCTCAAATATTTGTAATACAAATGTACCAAGATGCAAAAAGACTCAAAATGTTCACCGCCCTTTATTTATATGAATCTAAGGACTACAAGAAAAATTACAATAATGAAGAAATAATAAATACATAAGATAATTATTGTGTCTTGGAATATTCGGGGTGGTAGAAAAATATAAAATTTAGCGTCTTAACGTTGTACGAAGATCTGACACGCAATCAGGTAAGAGAGAGGGTGTAGCATTTATGAGACACCAAAATTTTTATGTGAAAAACCCTTGAAAAGGGGGGAAAGCCACGGGGCCTAGCCCAGTTTGAATAAATCCACTATTATTTACAGTTGATTACAAATGAGGCCCTTCCTTATGGGGAAGGCCTTGGCTTTATGTACATTATATAGAGTATATTACATGGTGGGAATACAAAGAATCACTATTGATGTGTTCATTTGGTAGGAAGGAACGTAGTCGGCGGGCGACTTAAGTCGGAAGAACTGTTGTCTAACAACGGAGGTTAGAAGGATGGTGTCAGATAGAATTCCAGCAATGGATCAAAATCCAGCATCGGATAAATGTCCGGCGAAAGTTCGACATCGGGCAGAAGTCCGGCGTTAGGTAGAAATTTAACGAGCGAAGGTTCGGTGTCGAGTATAAGTCCGACGTTAGTCAGCGGCTGGGGAGAACTCTAGCATTAGATATTATTCGGGAAAACTCCAGAGTCACTTGGAGATCAAACATAATTCTGGCACTACTTGGAGATCAGGCGGAGTTTCCATGTCACTTGGAGATCAGGCGGAGTTTTGGCGTCACTTGAAAGTTGGGTGGAACTCTGACGTCACTTGAAAGTTGGGTAGAACTCCGACGTCACTTGATCGGGCGAAACTCCGACGGTGGTCGAGGAGGAGCTTCTTCCCTCCTTCTCTTCTCCTCTTCTTCTTACTTCGGGTCCCGTCTTAAGAGAAATGAGGGGCTATTTATAGCTTTTTGAGAATGGCATGACTCGTAAATAGGAGGAGGATCAAGGGCAAATGGGGAGTGGTTTGGATGGACGGCCGATATTGAATCCCTTGATCGTGGACAATTCAACAAACATTTGAAGGTCTTAATGATATCGAAATTCGGCGATCTTAGGCTCATTGGATTCGTCTCGTCGAGCCGCTCGATTCAACTATAAGTATATCATATTTGGAAACCGTTTGGTAATCCAAATTGTAGATTGAACCTTCTGAATATGCTTCAGGCCTTTGATTTGAACCATTTTGAGCTCGGATTGAGTTGAATTAGGTGTCGTTGGGTTCGTATTTATGAGACAATCAGTCTGACTATAAGTTTACTGAAATCGGAGCTCAGCTGGTCCCATATTTAATTTTTGAAGTGTCCAACTTCATTTTTGCCTCGAGATTCGTGTCCGATCAAGATAATTTTTTGATGATATATCAATAATAACTCTTAGCATAGACTGCCTTAAACATGTCTCACACCTCAATTGACTTGATGGATGATTGCTCATTTTAATCATGCTTCTATATCTTGAGGCAAGTATCATAATATTACGAGTGTGTTCATGTGGCAGGGACGATGAACATCATTGCTAGTCGAACATGATAGGTGAGATGGAACCTTTGGATGGATGCTTTTATGTAATTGGGGTGATGAGCATAATTGGTGATACTCTTTCATTAACTCTAACAACTATTCCCTTCTGAGGGCGAGTGAAGAATTGAGTAGTCCTCATTTGATCGTTGACTATCTTCGTTAAGGGCTGGGTACCCTAAAGAGTTACTTGGTGATCCTCTAGAGAGTTCTATTGTGGGCCCACAAAATATGAGTTCACCTAGTATAACTCGTTGATTATTTGTTGAATACCTAAAAAATATACGCGAGTAGGGGTGTCAATTTTGGGTCACGGGTCGGGTTCGGCTCGAATCCGAAAATGACTCGGCACTATTCGGGTCAACCCGAACATGACCCGTTTTTACAAACGGGTCGATTTACCGGACCCGAACCCGACCCGCTTCGTGTTCGGGTCAACCCGACCCGACCCGCGGACACGGCAAGGCCTGGAGCAGCTTCGCGGCATCGGCAGGCCTTCACCCTTCAGCGAGCCTTCAGTGAGGCAGCAGCGTCCGGCGGCAGCAACGTCCGGCGTCCAGCGGCAGTGACGTCCGGCGTCCAGCGACAGCTGTCACGGATCGGTCATGAATCACGTGGCGGGATGCGACGCAGGGCCAGTAGAAATGACTCGAAGCGACCGCGAGCAGCGGGCAGCAGTCACGCGGGGGCGGGCAGGCGCTAGTCGGTCAGTGCTCGCACCGGGGCAGCTCGGTCAGCGGGTCGAACCGGCTCAATTTTGGGTTTCCGGGTCAACCCGAACCCGACCCGATTTTTAAACAGGTCGAAAACTCTAACCCGAACCCGAAATTTCTGTGTCGGGTTTGAGTCGGATTTTCAGGTCGTGTTAAATACTGACACCCCTATACGCGAGTATGCATTATAGATAATTTTTATACATGAAATATAAATAATTTTTAACAAAACGGATATAAAATTTATCATCAAATAAACTAATTCATTTATAATTCTAATCTTAACTAAATTATAAAATGTATGAATAGTTGCATATACAATATGCATCACTTGTACATGAAGATCATGGCTGAAGTGTTTGGAGATTCTCACAGATCATGATTGGGCTGATTAGCTGATACTTCAAAATCATCACTTATCAACATCATGGCAGCCATGTCTTAAGAGTGAGATCCACCTTAAGAGCATCAATGCAAGTTTCTTTTAACTTCTAGAAGAGTAATATTGAGATATAATGATAGGAAAAACTCATTTTTTATTTAAAACTTTTAGTCTATAAAAGGTTAATTACTTGATATTTTTATATCGGTCTATATTTTTAAAAATTTAGGATTTAATTTGAGTAGAATTAAAATCGAATACAATAAGTGTAATTTTAATAGTTATATATCTAATTGTATGATTGTGACGTTGGGTGATCAAGTCGTTAAAAATAGTGTATGTTTTAAATATTTTGGCTCTATTGTTCAAAACAATGATGAAATAGATGAGAATATTTTTAGTACAATTCAAGTCGGATGATTGAAGTGACAGAATGTATTAGGCTTGTAATATGATAGAATAGTATTCCTCAAACTCAACGGAAATTTTTTTAAGAAGATAGTGAGACTTGCAATGCTTTATGACAGAAAATGTTGGTCATTAAAAGTGAATCATAAAATGTTGGATGAGTGGCTTTAAATTTAGAGATAGAATGTGAAACAAGAATATACGTGAAAAGATTGGAGAAGCTCCAGTGATAGATAAGATTAGAGAGAGTCATGTTGTCAGGGGCGAAAGCTCCTAGGCAATTGATATCAATGAATATGCACTAAAAACTCACCTAACAATTATGACCTAATTGTTTGTTGTTAGTTTTCACTCTTATTTAATGAGTAGAAATTGATAGGTAAATTGATAAAGACTCTGAAAGTTGTTATCATAAAAATATGACTCATGGACTAAGTAATACATTAATTCGCACATCATATTTTCATTGATGTTCGGACGTAGCTCTATACGCACGTAATAATTCTGAATTATGTCATCTTGGCCTGTTGGTTGAGAGCTTAGGCTTCCAACTATGAGGTTTAGAGTTCGAGTCTTTGTATATACGTAGTGTATATGAATTTGATTTAAATGATCTAAATATTCCCCCAAGAAAAAAACACCTAGAATCCTGAATTCTGTGCGTGTAGTTATAGGCCATGCAAATAGATTTTTATTTTATCTTTATATTGCTTTACCTTTACTTATTATTATTATCCCTATCTTTTCTCTCTTATGTCATACTTCTTCTTCGGCTCCTGCTGCCAATTTTTTCTTTCCAGCGGATATAAGAATGGCAGATGTTGGTTCAGAGGATAAAAAAAGCAAATTTACCAGCTTACATGAGCAGCATCAACATGTGCAATAAGGCTATAAGCAAATCAAAATTCAAACCTAACCTGGCAACCAATGCCAACCCACGTGAATGGGGGTCCTCAATCCTCAGGCTGTGCTCAAATATGGAACCCAAAACAGGGAGAGAGTTTGAGTTCTGCAAATAATTTGACTAAAATGTTTGTTTGATTCACTCAGTTTGCCTCCTCTCATAGATACAATACCAGTCTCCACTCCTCCCATGTTCTCCTCCCATTCCTTCAATAATTGAATCTCTCTCCCTCTCCTCCAGCTATTTAGATCTCCAAGATTTCTACAACATGGTAGTATACCTCTGAGTTAATAAAATGGCAAAAAAGCTACTAATCTCTTTTCTTCTCTCCTTCTCTCTGATTCTGCCCACCTCTTCTCCTCAGCAGCTTTCCCTCACACAGTCTCAAGTTAAAGGTAGCTGGATCTCAGGAAGGAAGCTTTTGGAAGAGATTATAGTTCCAGCTGCAATTCTGTCGCCAAAACTTTCAGATAAGGTTACTCATTCGATTTAGAAACTCTCAGAATTGTACTGAGAATCACAACTCTGGTAGCTTTGTTTCATGCAGATGGAGAGATTTGAAGCCAAAAGAGGCGCAAAAGGTGGGCATGAAAATAGAGAGGAAGAGGAAGAAGGTAAAGGAATGGTGTTCACTGCAGATTACAACAAAGTAAAAACACACTCCTCTCCATTGCCAAAGCACCCAAAGCCATAGTTGATTTATATTACTTTTATGGTGACTGAAATCTCTTCAGGATAAAGGGTGTTTTATGAATGTAAAATACCTGGTTTTAACTTTTATGTGTATTTTACGAATTTCGATGCAGTATCTATGTATTCAACAAGCAGCTATTAAATCCCTCACAGCTCCCCCGAGTGACAGGAAATGTGTTGGTCTTGTTCACAGTTTTCTGCTATTTCTTAGACTCAGACTTCTGAAACTTTATAAACTTAGAATTGAGTATTTATTATGTGATAAATAGACTAAGATTTTATTTGGGATAGCTTTCGCACTACTTCTTAAACGATTTTCTAATATAAAATTTTCTAGAAATATGGTTTAAAAAGAAGCCCGAAAGCTGTCCCAAACGAATCAGTCCAAGCAGTCAAAATTATGGATTCGCTCCTCTTAAATCATACTTGTGGCCTTATCCTGGAGAGATTATTAGGTGCGGAGTGCAGAAGGAGAGAACCGTCTGCACACTAGTATAAAATCCTACCGTTCGGTACTGCTGGGTACTTCTAGGTACCGCTTGGTACCCTGTGTCTGTGTAGACGGTGCTCTCCTCGTCTGTGAAACCAGAGGCGAGAGGCCTCAGGAGAGGCGGAAGAAAGACAGACAAAGCTTAGAGAGAAATTGTATTATCATCATATTAAACTAGGTACATGGATGTTTAAATAGAGAGTACACAGGTAAAACAGTAAATACAGGTAACATTGTAATTGAGCGGTTCATAGTCTGCACTCCGCACCTAATAATTATTCCTCATCCTGACATCTCCAAATATTTATAATTTTTGGCGTAAGTATTTTTTATTATTTTTATTAAAATTCCAAACACACCATCGATGAACTTATGTTAATCTCCTTTTATTTTATAATATTTTTCAAGAATTTAAGTGAAAAAGCAATACAATTAGGCTAACTTCGGCTTGTTACATTCACCTTATCGAAAGGGATGTTTCAATAATTCTTATGGTAAAACATATGGCTTCCAACTCTATATTAAAAGTTTCTCTTTCAAGTACCTTCATCAAGGTTCGTATTGATGACGTATCAATTCTTCCTGTAAATTAGCATTGCCTCATTACAAAAATAATGTTGACTTAGAGTCCGTTTCGAACGGCTGTAGCATTTTATAAAATTGATTATGAAGATGTTATGTATAAAACAATCAAGTAATAGTGGTTGACGGTCTGCTGATGATAGTCGAGCAACAATCGTAAAATGATACTTATGATTTGGCAGTGAAAGAATAACAGTCTAGCTGTGATGATCGTCGACGTTGAATATGACCAATTAGAGCTATGGAGTTATTTAAATCTCCAAGCTCCCTCCCAACACAAGTCCAAATCCCTTTCTTTTAGAGAATGCGGATGATTTATAGTACTTTCAGAGTGAGCATTTTGATAAATTTAGTCAAAATTATATGATACTCCATTAGATGACTCATATCGAATCATTTGATCATAGACAATTTATTCAATGTTTAAATACTTCAATGTCATCAAAATTGTGTGATCTTATGTATGATGGATTCTTCAAGTCGTGCTCATTATTTTGACTAAAAACATGCAAGATCTGAAGACCTCTCTCTCTAATTAATATCTTAAAATTTTTGACCATCTTTCTAAGTGTTTGGTTTATGCTCATTTGGATTCCGATCATATTACACTTGATGTCATTATAAATTTGCTGGAATTTTGAAAAAAAATTATATAAATATTGCATTGGTATTCATGTTGATCAAAATAAATTCTTTTAAGTCATATAAATATCAAATAATTATTTATTTATATGACATTTAAAAACTTAAAAAAATAAAGTACGTTCAAAATGCATTATAGCTTTGGCCTAGGGCTGCAAACGAACCGAGCCGAGCCGAGTATGTGACTGTTCATGTTTGTGTTCATTTAATATCAGCTTGTTCAAGTTTGGTTCATGTTTGTTCGAGCTTTAGCGTTTGTGTTCATGTTTTGTTCATTTAAATTAAGGAGTGTTCATGTTTGGTTCATGTTCAGTTCATATTCGTTCATTTAGTGTTTATCGAGCTTTTTCGCGAACATATTTAACGAATTTTTTTAACTATCAAACAAGCACGTTCATGAACATTTCTATGAACAAATACATTTATAATAAAAGCAATTGTCTATGTAACAAAGGTAATGATTATTTATATTTATTAATTCTATAGTCAAATATTAATTATTTTTATCGAGCTTATTCATGAGTTCAAAATCAAATATGAATCGAGCTTTTATTGAGCTTCTTATCGAGCTTAATGTCGAGCTTGTTCACGGACTTCAAATGATGTTGTTCGTGAACATAAATGAGCCGAACTCATTAGTGTTCAAGTTTGTTTATTTAAGAATCGAGTATTTAAAATATTGTTCAAATTTGTTTGTTTAGTTAATTAAACGATCACAAATGAGCTTTAATCGAACCGAACAACGACGAAGGTTTGGTTCGCTTGCAGCCCTAGCTTTGCTTGTTGCCCAAGATATCTATGACGTCAGCGATAACGACGGGTCATGAGACGTAAATAACAAGGGTAGCAGGGTTGTTTATAAATCTCCTTCAAAGAACTAAGAACCAGAATAGCCATGGCAGGTCCGATAATCTCTCAAAACCCCCGGCCTTCAGCTTAGCGTTCCTCAGTTCCTCTCTGAAACTCTGCTCTTATCTGTTTTCTATTCATAAAGAAAGAATAGAGAGATATTAAAGCAATGAGGATAAGAACTAATCAGCTCAATTTTTCGCTCGCCGTGCGTAATGGCGATCTGCCATGCCGATACTCTCTTATCTGAGCTCTTTCTCTCTATCTTATTTGTTTATTTATTTGCTTTGATTTATCTGAAAGTTGAAGGCTCTAAGAGTAGCTTTTTTGAATTAGATATTTTTTACTAGAAATTTGTTTTAGATATCATTAAAAAGATGCGAAGACTGAGGATTCATTTGAGGCATTTTTTACTATTTTTTAAATAAACTTTCTTTTAAAAATTTTATTAAAAGCCCCCCAAAAAAAAAAAATAGCCTTTAATTTGGGACTGTTTTTTTATCGTTTTATTTTTTTAATTCGTAATCATAATTTTTATTTGTCTTTTATTTTTTTTCCTTTTACTGATAAATTGATTTCTATAATAGTTTTAAAAAATTATTTTCACTGTAACAACTTAGTTATTCTAAGAAGACTTAGATAAATAACTTTCATATGCCTTTTTTGCCCTTTTTGGTTTAGGGAGTTTCTTGGTTTTTATGCCTTTTTTGCCTACTTTTTTGGAATTTAAAATTTGGCGAAAGCAATTTAAGTTTTATTATCTATTTTTGAGAAGTTGCTGAGCTTTCTTTAATAAAAGGTTTTTTTTTTCTTTTTTTTGGGACAAACCGCTCTATGATTCTTTTTACTCTTCGAATTTTTCAAATAAAAATTTGTCCTTTATATGCTGGATCTTCATCTCTATTTCTCTATCGTTATAAATTTCCTTGCACTCATTAAAAAGTCTTGAATTGCCTGTCAAGCTTGATGAAGAAGATGGACTCAATTGATCTCTGCAGCAAATTTTATCATCTGGAGTTTAACAATAGACCTTTCGTTTCAACAGTTCAAGCTCTTTAAAATTCTTAACGGCCATCCATTTAGTTTGTAATTAATAGTTATTTACAGATTTCTTTCTTCAATAGAAGGTTAAAGGTTTGTATGTAACGGTGTAACCATTCTTTTGAATGATGAGTTCAACATTTTTTTCACATAAATTTTTCTCTTTTTATTTCTTTATAATAACATTTTATTACAACAACAACAACATCAATCCTTTATCCCACTATGTGGACTTTGATCCATGCTCAATATAATAAATTATAAATAAACAAATCATGATATATGAATTTAATTATTTGGTATTAAACAAAAAGCTATCCATTGATTAATTAACTCGTGAGAGAAGCGCAAAAAAGTGTGATAAAAAGGAGAATATTAAGATAGATTTATAATAATATCATAAATTACATTAAAAATTATAATTAGATCAGAGCAATGATAAAAATATCATCTATCTAAGATAACCAAAAGGTTAATGACGAAAATTCTTAAAAAAAAAATTATTACGTGCTAGAAAATTTGAGTAGAGAATATATTTTTCGTGCAAATATTAAGCACGAACATATTAAAATTTGCTGAGATCTTATTTGGATGGTTGTAAATTGAATTTTGAAGTTTTCGAATTCAAATATGCCTCGAGATTCGTGCTAAATCAAGATGATTTTTGATGATGTGTCAAGAATATATTCAACATAATAGATAAAAATTGAGCATCAGAATATATGTTATACTAAGTAGCTCAAAATGAAGAATGAGAATTCACAAAATTGAAAATAAATAATTATTATGATAAAGATCAAATAATGATATTCAAGAAAAAAAAATTATTTTCATTTTTTACTAATGTAATGTCATTTTGTCACTTGTTTTTAGCTGCTAGAATAAAATATAAAATCAAATAAAATCAAGCCCATTTAAGAAAAAATTTGAAGCAAAAGAGTTTGCCAATTTCTTTGTTTTTTACCATTTGCAGCTTCATCGTCGAAACAACAAGACAAAGGATGACCCAGAAACAAAAGCAGAAGATTATACTGTGAAAGTCTAATTAAAACAAACATTATGCTATGTGAGGGTTTTTTATGATCAATCTTATTAGTTTAGATTGTTATTAGAAGCTTATTTGATTTGAAGGGTATGAAGTGTATTGCATTTTAAATATAAAGATTTTCAATTTTTTAATGTTTGGTTGAGAGTACAACCAATTCAAAGTAATTTATAAGGGGACTTAAAACTCCCATATAATCTTTTTTGTTGTATTTAGCCTACTTATCGAATTTCAAATATAACATGTATTTGTGCAAATCCTCTAAATTTGTCCTCATGTGCAACCTCCACCCCAACACCGTTTACGCAAAGCCTTGTCATGGAGAAATTATTATGTGCGGTCATCAGATTGTTCAGAGACAAATCAGAGTGCACCACATCACCCAGTACACAACACCGATACACAACAAAAAAGTGACATTGCACATTATGATTTGCCTCTAGACGCCATCCGATGACCGCACAAAATAATTCATCCTTGCCATGACCTCCCGCTTTGATGACCTCCGGCCTCATCCCTACAATGGTCATGCAACCTTCAGCCCCTCACATAGCCTCATTTTCGCCTGTCCCTATCCCTCTTCATGCTTTAGTTTAGTTTGAGTTTTGTATTTTTATTGATTTCAATGACATACCGAAAAAAAAAACTACTAAATTTCATATACACAATATTTTAATTACACTGCACTTAAAAGATATCCTTAAATTCTAAACAATTGCAACCAAACAGCCTCTAAACAGTGAGATTGATCAAAGAATAACCAAATTCACAATATGATCAGATTCATTTAAAATTAGGGAGCTGAAGAACTAAATTAAACACCTAAAAATTCTTGAGATTAAAAGGAACACAGCTACAAAATCTACAAATCATTCTCGTCATTTGACTCTTTCGAGCTACAAATTGTATAAGCGCATATGCCATGTCTCACTAATGATGCTAAATTTCAACACTTATATTCTCTTGATACCATAAATACCGAAGTCTGGCAACCTGGAAGGTCCCTCTTGATCTATCTGGGTGGGCCCTCTCTCTCACCCTTTTTGCTCTAGTGGTGAGGTGTCTTGACCTTCTTTTTTCTTCTAGTGATTTCCTATCAACTTTTTTTCTATAAATTATTTGTTGAGTTATTAGAGTTGGTTACTTCCATTAATGATAAATAATGCCAAATAAAAAAACATTGTGATCCAAAAGGAAAAATTTTCCCATGTTTTACGACTAGAACAATCTAAGCCTCCTTCTCACTCTTCAACTCCATTCGTAGCTGAAAGTTGCAAGAACAACAAGCTGTCTTCCATTTCAGGTAAGAAGTTTACATTAAATTTCTATCTACGTTAATCTCAAAGCTCTTTCCACGCTTTCTACGCAGATTCATCCTATTCCTTGTTTTAATTTCACTCTATTTGTTTAGAAGTTTACATTTAGCTGAAAGTTGCAAACAAATCATTTCGAGTCCTTATAAGCATGACCATAGAATATGTCAAGCACAGAACTAAAACATAGATACTTATCTAATCACTCCTAAAGTGAAGGAAAGCATTGATATTTTAAACCAACTTACATTATATTAACCCTTACATTAATTATGTATCATTGAGATATAATGCAAGACATGACAAACCTGCCAAAATAAACTTGGCGTGTACATCATTAAACTCATCCTCGAACTATGATATATTATTAGTAAACAAACAATCAGTCAATACTAAACGTAATTAAACTAAAAAAATTAATTCTACCATAGCATAAATCCCATCAATTAAACTTGAGTTTATTTAAGCGAACACCCTTGTGACTAAATCAATAATCAGTAATAATTTTACCAGACAAAAACCATTATCTAATTATAAGATCAATTTATAATTCTTAACAAAACAAACTATCAATGAAACATTTAATCAATTAGGTTAGAATTTTTCTAAGGAACAACAAGCCAATTCATTTCCACACACATAAGTCCCAATTTGGATTATGATTAGCATAGAAAATTTCTTTACTTAGGTTAGGAGTTCCTAAGTATGGAAAAAACATGCTAACAAAAATGATTCTAGGATGGAAAAAGCCACATGAAATTTTTATAACTGTCTAGCATAAACATTCAATTATCAAAGAGGTTTGCACCAAATTTTAGGTCAACCAAAAAAGATGCATTCACAACCCTTATGGGACAGAGCACCCTAATTGCATCACATACGTAATCATGAAGATCAACAATAAAACATGACATTCATGAAGAAATAGAAGTATGTCGATGAGATGCATATATCAATCAGTAAGAAGTTTTAGTAATTATAAACAATGCCATGTTAAATATAATCTTGGTATACCATCATAACCAATGTGTAAAATGAAATGACATCAATCTATAGGTATGCCCAACCAAAAGCGAATAATGAAGACATAATTATCTCTCCAAGACTTTGATGGTTCCAATATAAGCTCCTTAGGTTCATTGAGACCAATCATTCTACCCTTAATGATCCAAAATATCAATAAACCTACTAGTTAAACACAAACAATTATGCAAATTAAAGATGATGTAACATGAAATTCATTATCATTTCTATATATCAATATTATATACTGAAAAATATCACTAGCTTTTAAGTTTGCTAAAACCTTTGAAGCAAACATGAATAAAAAGTGCTCATACAATTAAATTGGACTATCTAACTCTACACTTCAAATGTGATCTTATTAGTCAGTCTCAGCTCCACATCCATCAAAATAGTGGAACTTATAGAAAGTGATCAATGTCAAGTCAGTATTAGCTGCATATACACTAATGCCTCATATTTCTTAGTTTATTATCTAATCAATTCTAAAGTAAATGTATCATATAGATCTGTTGAACTAACTTGCAAGCATATATTAGCCCATTCAATAATTAGATATCCTGTAAATATAGATAACGACATATAGCAAATTCCAATAAAAGTAGATTTGAAGATTTCATCACTAAACTCACCCTCCACAAGAATCTTACCTAAATTAAAAAATATTTCTATCAAATAAACAAAAACAATAAATCCCAAAGCCTCCATCCCTTCCTCCCTCTCAAGATGGAATTTTTTTGCTTCTTAAAGCATATTTGTCTGGTTTATGCATCTCTTAGGGCATCTCCAACCGAAACTCTCATTTTTCACTGCAAAATGCAGTAAAACAAAAAGTGCCTTGATTCATCTCCATTGGAACGCCATTTTGGCCCGAAATTATAGTCGTTTCTTTTGCGCCTTTCTCAGACTGAGTTCGGTAGAGAGAAAGAAATGACGAAAGTGAACAGTGCGACGCCAATCAATATTGGCGTCGCACTGTTCATCAGACTGAATGCCGACAAAAATGGAGTTCGGTTGCGACGTCTGAGGCTCTCCATTCGTCTGTTTGCCGAACGGCTGGAGAAGCTCTTAGTGCTCTCAACATCAATTCTCCATGTAAAGATTCATTTCATTGTCGTATTAAAAGCATAAATGAGTTACAATGTCACTTCTGTAACTGACGCAGAACAGTGATTGAATGCCATAAATAGAATCATCTACCCATGAAACGATAAATGCGAACAATATAACTTTTGTGTGAATCATTCCATTAACCACAAGTATCATATATGAAGTTTGTTTTTGTTCATTCATTAACCATCTAGAAACTAACTCAACATATCTTAAACTCTATTCAATAGTACAACCATCATACAAAGTTCAAATAAAACTGAGATATAATCTGCTTTCTCAAATGAGTTTTTTGTATCAACGAGTTAGATAATATATCAACATGGAAGCACCAATGATCAGCCATTTACCATAAAAAAATGGTCCTGAACTGTCGCAACAAATCTCGATTGAAGGAAGAATGCTAACAAGACATCGAGAACAGTAATTAAAATCTTCATCATCCACACTGGAAACCTTTTAGCTCCAACATAATTAGCATCAACCTCTCAAAAGATGTTCATCTTTTCTCAGTAAAAATCATGATACAGAGCTAATTCGATGAAAGAAAAAAGGGGGATTTAGTTATCGAACTCACCATCTAAACCCTAATGTATCTTCCTACGATCTGGAGGCTTCTGCGTGCCTAATTTGAACAAGAAGTAAACCTATAACAAATGAAAACATCAGTGGCCAGTTCACTTATTATGATCGAGAGAGAGAGAGAGAGAGAGAGAGAGAGAGAGGTCCGCTACCAGACCGAAGACGTGCACAGCCAGGAGCACCACCACGAATAGCAGCACCGGTTCCAGGAAACCCGCTCCGGCAACCGCCATCGGCGGTCGATCTCTTGATATTAAAGGGATTGCAAAAAATATGGCGTCTTATCCCACTTGCGGACAAAAGTTAAAAGCTTTGCGTCAGCGCATCCGGGGCAGGGGGGAGGTGGGGGGTGTTTGCGCATCTGATTTAAGACGGCAATTCACTGGTAGCTTAGGCGTGATTTGGCCATCATTATTTTGGAGAAATTATTGTGCACGCAATCCAAACATTTTGGATGCTACATATTTATTATTTATTTTATTACGTATTTTTTTATACATAATTTTTTTTGACAAATAAATAGCAAATAAATAATACTCACTAAATACACAATAAATACGCAAAAAAAAAACATAGAAAAAATTATGTATAAAAAAATACGCAACAAAATAAGTAGTAAATACGCAGCATCCGAAGCGTTCGGATTGCGTACACAATAATTTCTCCATTATTTTGAGTGTAAGTTGAAAATTCTAAGTTTGGATGAATTTGTTTTAAATATAACATATTTGGAGAAGAAATTTTAAATTTATTATCTAATTTATTTTGAGTAATTTCCAAAAAAAAAATATTTTGAGTGTATTTAAAATGGAGTGAATTTTAAATATAATATTTGGATAAAAAATGCAGACTAAGAGTCTAAACGAGTGGAGTAGTGGTTTATTTAGGTCGACTTGTCCGATATATAATCTGCTCGACCTTGATTTCGTCCCACTGTAAACAAGTTTGAGTCTGCTCGTGAGTCTTAGCGATATTTTTTAAATTTAGGCTGGATTTAAAAATATTTAAATTTAATAAATATGTTTAGCATTTACAAATAAATTTTTAATATTTAAATCTAATAAATAAAATAAATTAGTTTAAAATATTAATAATTATTCGAGGCGGCTCACAAGCTCACGAGCCAAGCCTCTTCAAGCTCAAACTCAAGCTAATTTACTAAACGAGCTCGAGCTCGAGTTGGGAGCTTGATAAGCTCGGCTCACGAGCCCATAAGATTCTAGCTTGAGCCGGCTCGACTCCCTTACACCCCTAATGCCGACTATTCACTCTTGTTCTCATCGTCACCATAGCACACCCACCGCTAGCCACAAGTCCCTGCTACTATTGCCCATCACTGGCCACCATCATCGCCTCCTATCTTTTGTCATCTGTCATTGGAGCCGCCACCCATAATCAGGCACCGACCACTATCGTAAGTCATCACTGTAGTCAGCACTACCATCATCGACCATCATTGCCACTGCTCTCGCCAACAACTACCTTCAATCAACTATTATTCTAATGACACTACTATTTTGTTTTGCATTTTATTGCTTCAAACCAAACCAAAAAAGGATTAAACACTAGCATTTGTAGTATACTCAACCAACTCAAAATTAATATTTAATATTATTTTTATATTTATAAGATTACTTTAAATGATCACAAACATATATAATTATAATGGATTAATATGTCAAATTACATTGCGTTTAAATCGACTTACTTTAAGCATACCACATCTTTAACATTAGATTATTTATCCATCCATTTTATTTAATTTCTACATATCATATTATTGGATGCTTATGTTATGCATATTTATTAATACAACTTTCGCTTTATATTGCATATATTTAGTTGGAAAATTTTCACGATAAAATTAAATATATAGTGCATATAAAATTGCGCACCCTATTATTTATTTATTTATTTATTTTGCATTTAGGTCAATTAAGGCAAATTCGTACACACATCACATACGTAAGACTCAAACCTAAGATTTTTGGTTGGTAGCCAAAGCTCCCAAACAATAGACCAAGATGAGCTGTGTTGCATACCCTTCAACAACTCCCTTTTCTTCATATACCTTTCACTCAAAGTCCAATGCGAATACTATAATCATTTTGGTTCCATTGGAACTACAAATACATTTGAATTTTCATTTTAGCAAGTTTATAGTTGATTTGAATGTCTCAACAAGATGAATTCTTCGACACTAAAAATAACTTAATACGACTCCAAATAAACTTAAATCAAATACTTGAAGCATAAGACAAAACCTAAGTTGCTGATGTGTGGAAGCTCAGTTTCTTTTTACAATTCCGTTCAGCTGCTGTTTTTCTACTGCTTTTTGTTGTTTTTTACGATGAATTATTCTGTGTAGACATCAGACGGGGAGAACCATCCGATTTGTCTCTGTGAACAGTAATTCATGCTACGCTATTACTATTCACAAAGACAAAACCAGATGATTCTTCCAGTCCAGTATCCGCACAGAATAATCTCTTGTTTTTGACAACCCGAGTTGTTGATGTGTGAAAGCTTTAAGAAAGTAATTATTTATTTTTGTTTTCTAAAAGAGCAAATTTAATATTCACGGCACTTAAAAAAAATTAATTTCTCTGCGACAATTTTATAAAAATCTTTGTAAAACACTTAAAACGTCTCAAACTGATCCTCACTTTCATAACTTGTTGCTATTTGCAAGAGGTCTAATCATTCGCATGAGGTCAAGCCGAGCCCAATCAACCTATACCTGTATTTCAGAACAAATTATAATAAATGGATTTGATTCGATCAGAAAAGCCCATAGAATTTTTTTCCTTTAAATTCGTTTACTTGTTGGTTAGTTCTTTTTCACTTTTTTTTTATCAATTAATTTAAATTCTATAATGAATAAATTATAAATCTTTTTTAATTAAAATGAGTTATCAAGTTGTGCTCATTCGGGTTGCAAAAAAATTTAGATTCAGGTCCACTTCTTGACCCGTTGATTAAGATGGCCGAATTCGAGTCAATTTCCAATCGGACTCTAATCCACCCTAAACTCATTTTGACACCCCTAATATAATTTTTATATATGATTAAAGTTAAATGCCATGATTAAGTTCAACTATAATAATTTTTTATCACTATTTTATAGGTTTAATTCGATTATATATTTACAACTAATTTATAATTTTAAATACTAAAAATTTAAATTTATTTTAGGATAATTAAATATTATTTATATTGCACTAATTTTGTTGCGGGCTAGAATATACGCGGCGATAGAGTTGTAATTCTACGTCTTAGCGTTGCATGGATATCCAGCTCACACACAGAGAACACAAGATTTTTTTACGTGGAAAATCTTGAAAAATGGGAAAAACCACGGGGCCTAGCCCAGTTGAAAAGATTTCACTAGAATTTGAGTTTGAGTGCAGTTGGCTGACTCGTCCTTGAGGGCGATCAGATTACAAATAACCATATGGTTGAAGTCTAGTGTTAAAATCTGACGTCACTTGGAAGTTGGGGCGTCAATTATTAGTCTGATAGTGACTTGACATAACTCTGGCGTCTGTTGATGGTTTGGAGGAGTTTAGGGCCTTAAGTAGTGTCTGGCGAAGGCGAGGGCCTCAGGTGATGGTCCGGCAAAGGCGAGGGCCTCAGGTGGTGGTCCGGCGAAGGCGAGGGCCTTAGGTGGTGATCCGGCAAACTCAGGCGGTAGTCGAGGATGAGTTTTTCCTTCTCTTAATTATCTTCTCGTATTCTCTTCTTGCTTCTTGCTTAGATCCCTTTTCAAGAGAAATGAGATGTCTATTTATAGATTTTTGGAGTGGCATGACCCATAAATAAGTGAGAGATGAAGGGTAAATGGGGAGTGGTTGGATGGACGACTGATGTTGAATCCATTGATCATGAATTGTTTGATGGACATTTGAATATCTTAATGATGTCGGATTTTGGTGATCTTAGGCTCGTTGGATTCGTCTCGTCGAGCCGCTCGATTTGACTATAAGTGCGTTATGTTTGAAAACTGTTTGGTAATCCAAACTGTGGTTCGAACCTTCCAACAACCCTTCTAACCTTTGATTTGGACCTGTTTGGACTCGGATTGAGTTGGATTTGGTGTTGTTGGGTTCATATTTTTGAGACGCTCAATTTAACTATTAGTTTGCTGAAATCGGAGTTCGGATGGTCACAATTTTAATTTCGGAAGCTTCCAACTTGATTTTGCATCAAAATTCGTGCCCGATCAAGATAATTTTTTGATGACGTATCAAATTTTAAAATACTTTCAAATTTTATTTGATAAAAAAAATTAATAAGAATTGACATATAAATTTTGATGCGAAATGGTAATAACTAATAAATATATAAAAAAAAAAATCTTAATTTTTTTCTTTAATTTCATCCATGGTCAAACACCGCTACCATCCACAGGATAATGAAGAGATTTAAGAACCCCCCAATCCTTCCGACAACGTGGTAAGCCCGTCCGCCACGTCACCCGCGCGGATAAATTTCACCGACCCACTTCATTACAAACCATGTTTCACCCTCAATAAATATAGGAGCCACGTTGGCGTCATCACTGCTGTAAATTTCTGAACTGTTTTTTTTTTTTTTCTTTTGAAATCTCTCATCTTTCTCAGCCACTCGACGAGCCAAAAAAAACGGTGCTATTTTTTTTCTTCTCGTCTCCGCCTCTCTGTTTCCCTTTCCTTCATGTCACGAAATTAGGGTTCGTTGTCCCTTTGTTCTTCTTCTTTTTTTTTTTCTTGAACATTATCGAATATTGTCGTCGAATTATTCTGATCATTGTTGTTGTCTTTTGTGTGGTTGGAATTTCGGTGTGTGGATCGCTAGGTGGATGAGGTTGCAAGCTTAGATCAGTTCTTCTTTCGGGATTCTTGTATATTGATTCATTTGAAGGAAAGGAGTTTGATTTTTTTGGGGGGAGTTTAAATGGGTTATTTGAACTCGGCGCCGGCTGATTCTAGCATATTCCAGAACTTTGATTATCCTGTCAGCGGCGGGGGACTCAGGTATGTTGCGCCGCAAATTGGCTTTAATTAATTTTCTTTATTTTTTTCATGTAAAGTTCAGATTCGGTGGTTTGATTGTGGCGGGAGCGTAAAAAAGCTCTGATTGAATTAGCTTTACATGTAGGAATCAGGTGATTTAAATAGGATGACATTGATTAAATTTTTTTGTTTCGCTTTTTTAATTTAGCAACTTGTTGGGAATATTCTGTTCTCCAAATTTTGGAGGGATGGGAGCATGGTGCGTGGGGATTTTATATTGTTGCTAACGTTTTGATTTGCTTATCAGTCATAATGGAAAGTTTAGTTTCGGATACGCAAGCTTTCGTGGAAAGAGGCCATCAATGGAGGATTTCTATGAGACCAGAATTGACGGGGTTGACGGCGAGATTGTTGGTCTATTCGGGGTTTTTGATGGTGAGTTATTATTATTATTAGGCCATGTGATCTGGATTCCCTCTTTTATTCGTTCTGGAACAATATTTACTTTGCTGAAAGTTTGTTACTTTTAACTGGAATGTCCTCAATGTATACAGTTCTTTATTTCCGTATTATTTCTCGTTATTATATGTTAATATTTTTTGTTGCTTCGTGATGGGTTTTCAGCAAATGTGTTATTGAATGACTTGCGCTGATGCTTCCTTTTTCTTACAAAATAGGTCATGGTGGTGCTAGAGCAGCAGAATATGTGAAGCAGCACCTCTTTAGCAATTTAATCAATCACCCAAAGTTTAACACTGATATCAAGTCAGCCATAGGTTTGTTTTTGTCCTTCTATGTTATTATCATCATCATCATCGTCATCGTCATCATCTTACATAAAGTCAGTTATAGGCTACTGTCTTTCTTTATTTGAGTTCCTCGTCATCTTCATTGTTAATTGACTCAACGCAATTGTATTATCGCCATAATGCTCTTTATTGTTGTTTTAGAAGCAAGGGACTTAGAATTAACAAGTGGGATTGGTATTCATGTTTTTCAGAAATTACGGATCTTTAATTTCAAGATTCTTTCCCTTTTTGTGGTAGCCGTTATAGTTGTAATCCTTAGCCTGGGTTTGATTTATGCAATCTAAGTATGAATGATCCTTAGTTATGACTCTTTATTATTCCTAATGTACCCACTTGATATCCATGGTTGTGAATGATTTAGGAGACTTGGTGATGCACGTGAGCAAAGAGATTCCTTTTGTTGTTAGATTCTTTGATTTCTTCTTCTTTGTGTATGGGTGTATTTAAGATTTTGGAAAGGACTTGGGCGCTCTTATTTTGTACTCCACGATTATGGCTTTTGTGCTTTATTAATAAATCAAATCCTCTCTATTGTCCTGTGGATGTAGGCTTGGTTGATGTCACACCACTTAAATCTTAGTTTTTCTTTGTGATTACATATTTTCTTTCTCTTTTATGTTTTATCTTTACTTTAGGGACACTGCCCCCTTAATCTTTGTGATGCTTTTGCAAACTATCTTTTGGTGTTTTTTGTTATCAGAGCGCAATTCTGTAGATTAATGGTTATGAAGTTCAAAATTGAGAAATGTGAGGGGTTAAAGAAATTTGGCCTTTGGAGAACCCAAGTGTGTGGAGTTTACTTGTAACGATTTAGTTGTGTTTGGCAAACAAGATTTTGATGGATGTTTTGGAGGAGACAACTACAAATAGATTATGACTCAAGTTGGAGTCACTGCTCCTTACTAAAACTATATTCATCAAACTTTATCATAAACAAATGTTGTATTTATTTCTTTTGCATGAAGGAATGCCTATCAACTCACATTTAATTCAATTTAGTTCAATTATTTGTGATTTGAAAAATATTAATGTCATTGTGGATGATGAGGTCATGCTTTATTGTTATTGTGTTCTTTATATCTTTCTCATAAACATTTTGTTATATTATGTTGCATGAAAAATATACCACAAGTTTAGACTCGCTCGGCATCCCAGCGGGTGGAAGAAACTTCCGCCCTGTTCGTGCCTGAGCCGGTCCCGCCTGGACCGGCTGGACCGGTCCAGTGGACCAGTCTAACAGTTTCTTGCTTTGGGCTCTTGGCATTCCCGGAGATTGAAGAGTTGTTCTTCCTCTCGGATTGAAGAACGATTGTATCTTTTGCTATTTTATTCATTGTCTAGTGGAATACAAGTTTTTCTTTGAGTTTTCTCCCAAATTTTCCCGGTTTGGTGCTTTTTTTCTGCTGTAAACAGCAGATTTCTGCTGTTTTCCTGTTCTGGACAGTAATATTATCACTGTTTGATTACCAATTTGGGTTAGGGTTGCTTGCGAACTCAAGTATTACCTTAGGGTTACTTGCGAACTCAAGTATTTCCTATCAGATTGATAATTTATGATTTAAATTTTGGTATTCAAGTAAGATTCGTACTAGAAATGATGTAGGTGTGGCTTTTTTAAATAAGAGTTTGAAGGATAATATTGTAGAGATTTATAGAATTGAAAATAGATTAAGGAAGGTAGATCCTTCCTATGTTAAGAAAAGTATTGGTAGTCTTAAAAAAGCTTAGTTAGAAAGTATTTAAAATAACTTTTTTATTAGATTTAAATGAGAATTTGACTCTTAATAAAATACAATGGAGAAAATGATTCATGTAGCTAATCCATGTGGGATAAAGGCTTGTTGTTGTTTTTCTTAAGATGGACTTTTTATTTTACAAAGAAACAAAATTCAAATTAGTTATAGAGCAAAAAATGCCTTGTTTGTGAACTACAAACTAAATTGACAGACCTATTGAATTTAACATAGTTCGGCTGGTTTTTGTTGTATTAAATTTTAAAATATTCTCTTCACATGGCATAATAGAAGTACCTCTCTTAAGTTCTATTTTTGACTATTAACTTCTTTATTGTTGCAGCTGAATCCTACAACCATACTGATTCTGAATTCCTGAGATCTGAAAATAATCAGAGCCGAGATGCTGGATCAACAGCTTCAACTGCAGTTCTTGTCGGTGATCGTCTCCTAGTTGCCAATGTTGGAGATTCCAGGGCTGTCATCTGTAGAGGGGGAAATGGTGAGGTTTATTTGAAGCTTCTCTAGTTATTTCCTACTTTTTGCTAAACAAGAAAATTGCCTTGGATTTGCTATCTTGACTTTTGGATGAATTTATATTCCATGGAAATTAATTGAACTCTTGCGACAGTGAATTTCTGCATTTTTAACAACACAACTGTCAATATCAAATTTTAATTTTTGCTCGGTATACAATTTATGTACTCGGGTAAGGAGATAATACTTGGCGGTTCACTTGGATGACTTTCTATCTATCATTGAGTTCTTGCTATCTATTTATGTTTTGTTGTTGCGTCTCTAGTAATTTTTTGCACTCCATATATGGCAACATCGTGCAATTTTTCCTTTTCTTTGAAAATGAAGAACTCGAGTTCTTACTATCCCCACATATCCTATAATAGAGACATAACTCCCGTGATAACCTACAATCTCACATAAATATGCCTGAGTGGAAAAACTCGACTTCGATTAATTGTTCAGTTGATATTTGCCAGGTAGATTGAGGCATATTTGTTGTAATTTCATGTAGAGAATCCATACATTATCACTTATACAAATGTTCATCCACTTTATTAGGTATCTTAAATATCCATCATTGGTAGTGTACATGATTCATCTCTAATAATAGCTTTAATAATAAGATTAATATGAAATTTTTGAAATTTTAGAGATTGTGTGTTGGATCTGAATTTTATATGGGCAATGGAAAGTGGAAAAATTCAAGGAATTGGTGGCCAGTTCATGTTATAAATTTAAAAAATATATATTGAAGATTTAATCGATACCAAAATCTCATGAAATTTTAATTTGTAAGCATACAACCCACTGCATGTTTGATTTTATATGGTCATGCTCTTTCAGCATGTTTCTTTAAGGCTCATGTACTAAAGATTTTAGGATTTTTCTGTATCATTGGCTTATCATTTGTTTTGAATTATAGCTTCACTTTACATATTTTTGGAAGACTTGGGCTTAGTTTGGGACAACTTTCTTACTGTTTTCTAAAATATTTTTTTAATACAAAAAATTATTAAATTAGAAATTTTATACTAGAAAGTTGCTATAGAAAGTAATAAAAAAGCTATCCCAAATGAAACCTTATAGTTATCATTATCAAAAGTGAGTTTTCTGTGAATACCTTCATGCAAATCATATAGATGACTTATGAATAATGCAATATGATATGATGAAAGGAATTAAATGCTAAAATATTAAAATGCTTCATAATGAATATTAGTGACCACGATACAACTAATTCAAAGATGCTGAGATGATAAAAAAATTTAAAAATAAATTAATCACAAAACATCATGTCTTTATGAACGGACCAGTTTAAGGAAAACTAACCCAAATGATTTAAGGATTAGTTATGATGATTTATGCACTTTAAAATTTGAACATACAAATAGGGTTTTGAAATTTGAAATTTCCTTTATGATAATCAGCATTAATAGATCTTTTGAAATGTTGATGTAATTTAACTCTCTACATACGATGTAATTTAACTCTCTACATACGTTTTTCTTGATGAATTTTTGAATCAAGAAGCCAATAGTCAAAAATAAATTTGATAACACTTTGATTTGCATACTTAGTGATAGATTTAGTAGATACTTCAGAATTTATGTTATCAGACTTCTCAATTTATTTATGAACTACAATAAGCATGATTTGTTTAATTTCACATTCAAGTATATGTTCACTTTTTATTATAGATTCAAATTCATGTTTCATGTATGATCTCATGCTCAATTTTAATTTCAAACACAAAATTAAACTTTTATTAGACTACTTTCTTAAGTTAATGAACATGTTCTAATATAGGTACATGCTCATATTCAACAAAATCATATATTGATATAACCGTAGATTTTCTTCATCATTTAATTCATTATAAAAATATTCTTAAATTACAATCTCTTTAATAAGATTAAACTCTATCATGCATGTTCGTTATTTGTTTGACAGTCTTTAAAGGAGATGCTAATGACTTTTTTTAAATAAATATTAAGTTCATGTTTAGTAGTCTTAATATAACACTTGTAATATTTTTCAAACTTCAAAAGCTTTTTTTTAAGGCCTAAAATTAGAAAATGAATGGCTTAAAACTAGTAGAATAAATATCCAGTTTATGAATTACATTTGTCTGGATTGATAGAAATGATGATGGAAATAAACTTTGTTTCAACTTTGTTACTTTTAATATGTATACCGTTTTAAGTGCCCACTCAACGGTGTCAAATACAAAGCATGCGAAGGAAAATTATGTCATATGCTTGGAAGTTTTGAAAGGATACTTCAGTTCTTTGTTCTGTTTGGAAGGATGAGTCAACTCTTTTGAATCCTTTACCAGGGGAATAGACTTGAATTTATTTGATAAGCTGAGTCTCGTTCTGGCCCACGATAGTCTGATCTCTTCTTTCCCTGTCCATCCTACAATTGGAGATATTTTTTATTTAGAAAGTTGCCGTTGGTTAGAAATTGATGAATCAACAAATGCATCACACTTTAGCCATTTTACCCTTGAATAATTTAATACCAAGTGAAAAAAATTAATAATTTAGTGGCACATGCCTTAAATATAAAACTTCAACTAAATAAAATCATGCTTCGGGATAGCTTATTATATAGAAATCTGAATCCGTAATTGCTGTGATCTTCAATGTTGATTGAAGATAGTGAAAATGCAAACACGTTAGGTATTGTTTACTGTTATGATTCAGTTTACGTTGCAACTTTTCATTATGATTTAAGTTGTTTCTATTCATATTTCATTGTACAAAATCTATACTTTAATGAGAGTGTATGGATGGAGTTTCTTTTAAGTTCTGTAGGTGTTTTTCGTTGTAATAACATTCATTTGAACTAGGTTTTGAACGCATCATGAAATGCCAATAGTTTTACGAAAATTTAATATTAATCATGTGGATTTAAATTTCTTCTAGATAAAATTTTCACAATATATGATTGAATTACCCTTAAAATACAAATCTTTGACAATTCAAGAGCATATTTTAGAGATCTTGTAGTAATAAAAAGATCTTGAAGAGATTGTTTATTAACTTTTAGAGATCTTCTTAGATCTTTTGTTGATTTTGTGATATCTTATGGGATCTTGTAATAAATTATATTTCAAAATTATTCTTTGTTACCACTTTAAATAGAACCTTAAAGGAAGGGTTTGACCATAACTATATATAAATAGAGATAAGCGGGAGAGAGAGAGAGAGAGGGTAGAGGGGTTTATAAAAATGCGAGGAGTTTTTTTGTCTGCTTGCAAGGAGATCTTCTGCTTCTTCAATAAAGAGGAAGTGTTGCTCTATTTGGTTCCATAAAAGGAGAAGATTTCACCCATAGTGAATAAAAGCTCTCATAGTGGAGGAAGAAAGAGAGTAATAGCAGCAATACCATCTTTTTCTCCATTTTCAACTCTTATCTTCGTTATAGGTGTTTGCATTCATTCTCAGTCATTAATGTGTATAGATCCTTATCCTTATTGGAGAAAAATCATTGATGTAGCCATCTTTTGAAGATCAGTGGAATAATTTGATTACAATGCAATCATGGATGTAAGTAGATCACCGAACCACATAAACCTGGTTGTTTTGTGTTTATAATCTATGGCGTATTTGTTATGACATAATTATTTGATTTTATTTGAAGTTTTATTACTATCCTAACAACTAATATCCGTACTTTGGTTCATAAAGCTTTCAATTCTATGCGTGAAGATGAAAAAATCAAATTCAACGAGTTCAATTGCCTTAACTTTAGATTCTGGAAAATGCAAAAAGCATACTATCTATACCAGAAAAAGCTCTATTTACCATTGAAGGGTTGTAAAGCCATAGTCAGGTGATTAGAATGAGTGATGGTTGATGGGAATAAGAGATTTAGGAGTCATTTGCCTATCTCATAGCATGAATGTTTCCTTCAACATCCTCAATGAGACTACTACAATAAATGTTATGATGGTACTCTTCAATGTGTATGAAAATCTCTCTGCACTTGACAATGTACATATAATGCACAAGGTTTTCAATCTTAGAATATTAGAAGGAGCTTTGGTCATTGTTACATTGAGTTCAACTCAATCACGGGATAATTGAACTCCATAAATATCAAAATTGATGACAAGATCCATGCCTTAACCTTGCTCTCATATTGCCGAGTTTTTATTTGGTCCGGTGCAAGGACCTAGAGGAAGGTTCGGTTTTGCCTAAAAAAGTGCAAATACCGAGTTTTTTGAAAAAATACCGAGTTTTTCAAAAAACTCGGTATTTGCACTTTTTGACCTATTTTTGCCTAAAACCGAACCTTCCTCTACATCCAGTGAAAGGACCTTATAATTGCTCCATATTGCCCGAAAGATGGGAAGGTGTTGTAACAGTTGTTTGTAGTTCCTATAGATCATCTACATGAAGCTTTGTGATGTTGGAAATCTTACCTCAGCAAGGGTATTCGACAATGTGAGAAAATGTTTGCAACAAGAGAAAGTCGCAAAACAAGGGCAACAATAAAAGTAGAGGCAACTCAAAATCTCATGAAAAAAAAAAACACAGTTAAATTACAATAATAATAAGCCTTGAGGTTGCCCAAGTGGATTTTGATACTATGAAAAACTTTACCACATAATGAAAGAATACAGAGAAGAAGAAACATGAACAAGGATAAAAGTCAAAAGATTAGACTATGAGTACCGTCGTTGAAGGCATTTTGGATGCACTGATATTCAATGCCAAAGTCCAAAGAAAATATGAATAATGGACTCAAATTTAATGATAAATTATTGCACAAGCAATTGTGACAAAATGTTTATTGGTGATGTCAAAATATTGTGGGCTGGATATGTAATAATCAAGATAACAAATGGAAATACTTCGAAGCTCTATGATGCACAGACAAGACAACACAGACACGGGACAAGTCAATTATTGAAAACATAGGACATGTATACGGGTTGTACATGGTATTATAATTTTTATATTTTAAAAAGTGTAT